CATTCCAGCATTCTGGGAGGCTGAGGCAGGAGGACTGAAAGTTGGGGCACAGTCTGGGCAATTTAGCAACCTAGTGAGACCCTGTCTCAAAATTTAAAAAAGAAAAGAAACTGTGACTGTAGCTCAGTACACAGCTCCCGAGTTCCATCCCCAGTGCAAATAATACAAAAATATACTATTCAGCACAGCATATTTTAAAATGGGGCTGGGCATGTTGGTGCACACCTGTAATCCAGCACTCAGGAGGCTGAGGCAGGAGGATCGCTGAGAATTCAAGACCAGCCAGTGCTACATAGTGAATTCAAGGCCAGCCTGAACTGCACAGTGAAAAAAAAAAAATGAGAAAAGATTTGAAATTTATTTATTTATTTATTGTCAAGCCAGGGTCTCACTATGTAGGCCAGACTGGCCTAGAACTCATGATGATCCTCTTGCCTCTGCTTCCTGAGTGCCGGGACGACAGGCGTGCGCCACCACACCCTGCTACTTTATTTAACGTGCTGCATCCAAACTATAATTTTAACAGGTTGTCAGTAAGTGGGTTTTTTTTTTAAATGGGGATGAACCCAAGGCCTCTCACTCAGTAAGTACCTCTAGTAATCCACTTCCAGCTCTTATAATTTTATTAACTCTTTAAATCTAGCACCCTATATTCAAAGTATAACCTCAATATATCACCATATAAGAATTATTAATGAAATATTTCCTTTTTTCTTTTGTGGTGCTGCGGGTGGAACCCAGGACCTTCCCTTTTGCTTGTTTGTTTTTTGAGACTGGGTCTCATGACGTTGCCCAGGCTGGGACTGAACTTTCGATCCTCCTCTCCAGCCCCGAGTAGCTGGGATGACAGGTCTGCAGGACCATGCACAGCTCAGACACAGTTGTTTTTTTGGTTTTTGGGGTCTTTTTTTTTTTTTGTCTTTTTAAGACAGGATCTCGCCATGCAGTTCAGGCTGGCATTGAGCTCACTTTGTAGCTCAGGCTGGTCTCAAGCTCATAACAATCCTCCTGCCTCAGCCTCCCAAGTGCTGGGATTACAGGCGTGTGCCACCACACCCTGCTCAGACACAGTTTTTGTGTTGTTGGTTTTTTTTTTAATATTTCTCATCCAGTGGTTGTGTGGACAGCCAGCTGGGTAGACAGAAGGCCATCTGACAACATGCCTTGCACTCTACGTTGGAAATAGAAAGAGAGTTTTCATTTGTGTTGGTTTGGTTTGATTTGATTTTTTTGAGACACGGTCTCACTGGTAGCCCAGGCTGGCCTCAAACTCATGGCAATCTTCCTGCCTCAGCCTTCAGAGTGCTGGGACTGCAGGTGTGTGCCACCACCCCCAGCTGCAGCTGGTTTTAAAGAAACAAAGCCCCTTGCTGTCCCCCTCCACCCCGAAGAGAACCCAGGCAGGGGTCTCTGGCCAGGACAGGGAACAGCTCAGGGCGGGGGCGGCAGCGGCTGTGTGCCCACCTTCTCGCAGCACCACGCGCTCGTAGGGCGGGTAGTGGCCCTGCCTGGTCAGCACCGACAGGTCCTCCCGGCTGCGCTGGCTTGTTTTCTTGGCTCCGCGGCGAAGGCCCCGCAGGCGCCAGAACTCGGCACGGGCATTGGAGCCAGAGGCCGAGCCCGGACCAAGGCCCATGGCCCGCTGCGCTGCCTCCAGGCTGGCCAGCTGCTCGGCCCTGGGGGAGGAGAAGAGGGCCACCATGAGCTCCGGGACCCCACAAAGGGGTCCCCAGATGGCCTGGGGGCTCACACCTGTCATCCCAGCACTCTGGAGGCTGAGGCAGGAGGGTCATGAGTTTGAGCTCAGCTTTGGCAACTTAGCAATTTAGTGAGACCCTGTCCAAAGTGGGTGGTAACTCAGTGTGAAAGCCCTGGGTTCAATCCCCAGCACCTAAGGGAAAAAAACCCTAAAACAAAAAACAAAACAAAAAGTCACATCCCAGTGCTTGGGTCATATCACCTTAATGGCACAAGGGACTCTGAGATGGGATCATGCGGAAGACCCTGAAAGAAGGTCATTCTGGACCACCCAGGGCCCAGTGTCCCCCTGGGCCCCCTAAGTGGGCACAGGAAAGAAAAAGCAGAGGCTGACAGAGGCTGAAGATGCCTCACTGCCGGCTCTGCAGATGGAGGAAGGGGCTGCGAGCCAAGGGCTGCAGGTGCCCCTAGGAGCCAGAAAGGGGACCTGAGTTCTCCCTGGAGCCTCGGGAGGGGCAGCTCTGCCACCCAAGCCTGGGTTTCAGGACCTCTGACCTACACAACTGAGATAAAGCCAGGCTTGGTGGCATCCATCTGTCATCCCAGCACTTTGGGAAGCTGAGGCAGGAAGACTGCAAGTTGGAGCCCAGCCTGGGCAATTTAGGGACTTAGTGAGACCTGTCTCAAAATAAAAAATAAAAAGGGATGGGTAGCTCCGTGCAAAGGCCCTGGGATCCATCCCCAATGCCAACAAACAAAACAAAACACAACGATCTGTCATTTAAAGCCACTAAGTCTGGGCTCGGTTAGAGCACCACCAGGAAATGCTTAGGAACCAACTGACGGCTGCACTGACACCACCAGGTGCACACCGGGAAACTGAGGCCGGAGCGCACACCTGGTCTGGTTCGGGATGACACCCCGCTCCTGCTCCCGGAGGTCACGGCCCACGCGCGCCGCCAGCCAGAGGCTGCCCCGGGTGAGGCCGTGCCCAGGGCCCGGGTACAGCGTGTCCACCACGTGGAAGACGTCGCCGCGTGTGAAGCCCAGGCCTGAAGGTGGGCTCGGCTCCAGCTCGAAGTGCGTGCGGATGTAGAAGGAGTCGCCCACTCGGGACTGCACCATCTTCCTGAAGACTGCCAGGGGCCGCATGAGGCTCCGGGCCTCGCTCCAACCCTCCTCCTCAGCTCCAACCCTCCTCCTCCGCCTCCTCCTCCTCCTCCCTCTCCTCTTCCTTCTCCTCCTCCATCTCTTTCTCCCTCTCCCCCTTCCCCTCTTCCCCCTCCCCTTCCTCCTTCCTCTCCTCCTCCCTCCTCTTCTCCTCTGCTCTCTCCACCTCCTCTCCCTCCCCCTCCTCCTCCTCCATTTCTTCTCCGCCCTGTCAGGGGCAGGGGTTCCCCGCCATCAGCCTGGGGGCCTAGAGGGCTCAAGCTGCCCAGCCGCGACTCACTGTCCTGCTTCCGCTGTGTGAGCAGCTCCACGTCCTCCCCAGCCGGCAGCGCCAACAGGAACTGCACAGCCTCCTCTCGAGTGAGGCTGCGAAACGGTGTGTCATTCACCTGCCAAGAAGGGGTGCCTGAGCGGACCAGGCCGGCGTTCCTCCCGGCTGCGTGCAAGACCCCAACCACTACGGTTGCCTGGCTGCAACCTGGGCCCCAGGAGTTTGAGGACGGCTCTGGGACTAGGTGTCACCTCCCTGCGCTGCAGGACGCTGTGTGTCATCGAGACGCAAAGGTCTCTCCTGGGCACAGGGGGGGACCACAGTGACTGGCAGAACACAAACAACAGCCAGGCGCGGTGGTGCACACCGGGCGTCCCAGCGCTGCGGGAGGCTGAGGCTGGGGCGTCTCAAGTTCGAGCCCAGTCTGCCACCCGTCCCGTGTCACCTGCAGGATCTGGTCCCCCTCCTGGATGCCCTGCCCTTCGGCCGGGCTGCCGGGCTGCACACCAGACACGAAGATGCCCACGTCATTGCCCCCGGCCAGCCGCAGCCCGATGTTGGCGCCTTTGGGGAAGCGGACCACCCGCGTGTCGGGGCTATACCTGCGGAGGGAGGCGGGTCAGGCCGGACGAGGTCAGGAACCCTTGGCAAAGCCCTGCCCCTCCAAGGAGCCCCGGTTTCCCAAACAGCCCCCAAGGCGGCGGCCTTCAACCCGGGGAGATGAGGTTGCACGTAGGGGTGCGGTGGGGGAGGGGCGGGGCGGCCCGGCTGCGGAGCCCGGCAAAGGGGCGGGGCGCACCCGCGGGCCTCCAGGCTCTGGCGGCTGGGGACCCTGTAGACGTCCCTGCTGCTGTCCCTGCTGCTTCCACCGGGCGAGTCTGAAAGACAAAGCAGCCCTCCGACCTCTCACCTCTGCTTGGGGTGTCCTGTTCCTCCCGACGCCTCCCCCACTTCTGTGGGTTTGTAGTTTTAAAAATTTTTTTTGAGACAGAATCTCGATATGTAGCCCAGGTTGTCCTCAAAATCACAGCAATCTACCCGCCTCGGCCTCCTGGGAGGCATGCACCCCCACCCCCACACCCAGCTCCATCTCTGTCTCCCGCTGGCCAGCCCACCCCCACCACTGGCCAGATCAGAAATCACACACACCCTCCCGGCCCAGTGCTCACCAGGTTCTGAGATGGTTCTGGAATCTACGGACCTTTCCCGCCTGGGCCTGGGGCTCCCCCTGGTGGGGAACAGATTTGAGGTGAGGCAAAGTTAGATCTGGAGGGGCTATTTTAAAAAGCACTTCAAGCCAGATATGGTATCCCATGCCTGTATAATCCTAGCACCAGGAGGCTGAGGCAGGAGGATCGCCATGAGTTCGAGGCCAGCCTGGGCTACACAGCAAGACTTTGCCTCGAAGAATAAAACCACCAAACACTTTAATTAGTCAGGCACAGAGGTACACATTTGTGACCCCAGCTACTAAGGAGGCTGAGGCAGAAGGATCTCAAGTTTTAAGCCTAGCCTGGGCAATTTAACAACTTAGCAAGGGCTGGGGATATAGCTCAGTACAAAGGCCCTGGGTTCAATCCCCAGCACTGCAAAAAACGGAAAGAAAAATAGAGGATTTGAGACCAGTGTGCTCCGTGCCCCCAAGCGAGGGTACAGGGAAAAGGGCATCTGGGCCCGAACGGGGTACATCAACCTTGGCCTCCACGCCTGGGCCTCAGTGAGCGCTGACTCCTACGTTCCCGGCCCCCAGCCCGCGGGTACGCACCCGGGGGAGTCCGTCTCGCTGGCCTCCTCGGGGCTTCGCTGCCGGTGCCGGGGTGGGGGTGGGACGTGCGAAGGCGGCGCCTGTGATATTTCCGAGTTGAGGTCCGAGATGTCTGGGGGAGGGGACTGGTCAGCCACCGTCACCCTGGCCAGCTGCCTGCTGTCTGGCTGTAGGTAAGCTCCTGTCACCCCCTGCGCGCTGCCCCCTGCCTGGGCCCCTCACCCTCCATGAGAGAGCTGTCGCTGTCACTGACGGCCGGCGGGATGTTCACCAGGAACTGGCCTTGGTCCCTCAGCACAAGCAGCGTCAGCTTCCCTTCCGACTTCTCTATCAGCCGCCGGGTGTCACTCAGCGACAGATTCTGGCTGGATACCCCATTGATCTGAAGGGAACCAGGAAGGAGTGAGAGATGGGGATACTAGAAACAGACATCCTGGTGGGTAGTAGAAACAGACAATCCCACGGGGTTCCCAGAAACCGACATTCAGCAATAGAGTCACAAGAGATAGAGAAAGGGGAGATCTATGTCTAACCACCTCCAAAGTGACAAAGGGCTTGGCTCTGAGGGCCTCAGTGGCACTGTCCACCCCAGCCTCAGTCTCCCTACCCAAAGGGCAGGAAGCCCAGGTCACCTGAAGGATGAGGTCCCCTTCTTGCAGTCCACGGTTCCGGGCGGCCAGGCCAGAGTCCGTGATATGTTTGATGAAGATCTGACTTCCCAGCTTGACCCCGAACTCTGCAGGGATAGGAGGGCGACTGAGGCAGGGCTGTGGAGGCTAGAGGACTGGGCCCTCATCCCTTACCTCACCATGGGCTCCCCCCAATACTGGGGACTGAACCATGACAGTGTTGAGCTACACCCCAACCCTTTTTATTTTTGTGAGTCAGGGTCCCACTATGTAGCCCAGGCTGGTCTGCAACTTGTGGTGATCTTCCTGCCTCAGCCTCACAGGCTGGGATCATAGGCATGTGCCACCACGCCCGGCTATTTTCCTTTTTCCCCAGGCCTTTCTTTTAAAAATATTTTTCTGCCAGGCATGGTGGCACACATCTAATCCCAGCACTCGGGAGACTGAGGCAGGAGGATCACTGCGAGTTCAAGGCCAGCCTGGGCTACAAACTGAGTGCAAGGCCAGCCTGAACTGCATAGCAAGACCTTGTCTCAAAAAGACAAAAAAATTTTTAAAAAAATTTTTTCCTTCAAGTTTTGAGACAGGGTTTCACTAAGTTGCCCAGGCTGGGCTTGAACTTGCAATCGTCCTGCCTCAGCCTCCCAAGAAGCTGGGATGACAGGCATGCACCACCTCACCCAGCTATCTGCAGTCTCTTCTGCTATCTTAAGTGATGGAGCCACAGGTCCCAGGAACAGGGAATCAGGAGGCCCACAGCCTAAGGCCAAGGGCAGACCACACACCACCAGGGGCCAGCGGCCTTGGTGCCCCCTGGAGCCCTGCCCATCACTGTGCCAAACCGTCACCTTCGCTGTTCCGCCGTTTCACCAGCACCGACTTCACGGGCTTCATGCCCACATCCTGCCGGGGCAGCCGCTTGTAGCCTGACACCAGGGCCAGCCCGTTGGCCTCAGACCCGCCACCCGGGCTCCTGCGGCCCTGGCTGCCAGCCCGGGCTCGGCGCGCTGCCCTTGGCCGGTGGGAACGCTCGCCCCAGGAGCGGCCGGAGCCACTGGACGAGTCCCCCTCGTAGCCCCGGCCGTACTCCGCCTCCTCCTGCTGCCGCCAAGCGTCCTCCTTGTCTGAGTCCTGGCGGCCTGGGCTGGGGGCGCCCGGCTTGGTGGCCGGCAGCTGGACCTTCCGGGGCCGCTTCACCGTCTGTGGGGGTGGCAGGGGGGACTCAGCCAGGGTGGGGCTGGAGCAGGTGCCCCAGGCAGGGGGTGGCCCAGGGGGGGGGGCCCGGTCCCTCTCTGGGCCTCAACCCCTTGCTCTGTGTGCCCAGGCCCTTTGCACGGAGCTACACTTCTGCCCTGTGTATTTTTTATTTTCAGACAGTGTCTCGCTAACTCACTAAGGTGCCCAGGCTTGGCTTGAACTTGTGATCCTCCTGCCTCAGCCTCAGCGTGCTCCACGGCTCCCAACTAACTGGATGGCGCCAGGCGCAGCCACCTCCCTACCCACTCACAATATTGGCCATCTTGGTGCAGGTCTTCAGAAGCTGAATGGCGAAGGCTGACGTCATGTTCTCCACGGAGACCCCGTTCACCATGACCACGTGGTCCCCCGGCCTGAGGGAGGGTTGGGCTCAGGCGGGGGCCTCCCTGGGGAGAGGCCACCTGGTACCCCGCTATCCCCATGGTCCCCAGCATGTCTAGGTCTACAACACCCACTTCTAACCCGCCAGTGTCCCCCAGCCCTTTGGGCCTCAGTCACTTCATCCATGAAATGGGGCCAGGTGTGGAATCCAGTGTAAAACAACAGAAGGTGCAATTACAGCTGGCGTCTTTTTGCTCTTTTTTCCAGTTATTTTACTTTTTTTTTTTGAGACAGGGTCTCGCTGTGTACTGTAAGTCTCCAGCTGGCCCGACCCCCCCCCCCCCCGCCCCAGCCCGCCTGCCGGCAACTCAGCTCAGCACCGAGGCTGCCATCGGCAAGCCAGCAGAGGAGGTAAGACAGGACAAGGAAGTCTGCGGGGCCTGGAGACCTCCGGAGACGCCCCACAATTTACAGCGGACACTTCAGTGCAAGGACTCTGCCCACTGGGACGGAAGACTGCCGGAGAACTTCAGCCACAGATGCTCGCGGGGCTCGTCCTACCTGACGTCCTGCCTCCCCTCCGTCCCTGTGAAAGGGACACTCGTCTCTGTCGGGGCAGACGGTCTTATCGCTGTCTCTCCCTGAATCCAGGCCCAATAAACCCCACGCCTTGTTGCCTCTCCCCAGCCTGGAGGTCTGTGCTGGTCCCTTATGTTACAGGCAGCTCAGGCTGGACGTGAATGTGCTGCGTGGGCTGGCCGGCCGCAAGTCTGCGGCAGCCTCCCGCCTCAGCCCCGAGCGCGGGGATCTCCGGCGGCAGCGCCCCGGGCGTCCTCCCCAGTCCCTTCCGCTGTTCTCCGCCCGCCTCTGTCCGCGCTGCACGCTTCCCCTCCTGGGCTGAGCCGAGCCTTTTCACCTGTCAGCCCTCGGGCCCCGGGACCACTTTATCCGCAAGGTTTCCAGGAATCCCAGCCCCAGAACACAGCGTGTCCTTCCCCTCCGCCCAGAAAGTTTCCAGGGCTTTGTCTTCCAGGAGAGCCCGGCCACGGGGACCACGGGGGCCAGGACAGACCAGGAAGCGCCTTGGGGACGGGAGGGCGGCCCCGCTGGGGTGGGGTTGATGGGGCCTCAGGTGCCAGGCGCTCCGCCCACCCCGCCCTGGGATGACCTGGTGCTCACCGCAGCCGGCCCTCGGCTGGGCCTCCCGGAACCACATCAGACACCACCACGGAGCCGCCGGACCTGTCCCGGCCTCCCGAGATGGCCATGCCAAAGCCTCGGCGCGGGTCCTGAGTGAGGAGGACCAGAGGGCGTCAGCATCCCGGCGGGACAAGGGAACGAGGGCACCTCGGGCGCCCAGCGGGCTGCTCACCTTGGTGAGGCTGGCCGTGTGCTGCTCCCAGATTGTCACCTCCTCCATGTCCACCACCTGCTCAGAGGGGACAGGGAAGGGGCATCAGGCCTGGCCAAGGAGGGGATCCAGGCGGGGACGACTCTGCCCCCAAGGGGCACCCTGGCCCCCAGCACCGCCCACCTGGACCAGCTCAGCCACCTCTGCCCTGGGCCCGGCGCCTCCCACCTCTTCCCACAGCCCTGTCATGCCCAGCAGCCACCCCAGGGCGCTGTGTTCCCCTCCTCTGCCCTCAGGCTCCCAAGGCTCCCACTTCCCCTGGGGCCAAAGGCCAAGTCCTCCTGCAGCCCACAGGGCCCTGCTCAGCCCACAGGCCCCTCCCTACCTCCCCTCCTCCCTTTCTTCCCTCCTCCCCCTGCTCCAGCCACACAGGCTCCTAGCTGCTTCTGTACCATGCCAGGCTCTGTGCTGCCCCAGGGCCTTTGCACGGCTATGCCCACCATCTGAATTGCTCTGCCGCAGGTTCCTCACCACCTTTTGAGATGTCTGTCCGCACCCCACTTCCTGGACAAGGTTGCCCCTGACCACCATCCCCTATTTCTGCTGTGTTCCTTCAAAAAATGTGACCTCCAGGATATTGTCTGCATCTTCGAGGGCAGAGATCTTTATCTGCTTCATCCACAGCCAGTCCCTGGCTTAAACCACCTCTGGTCATAGCAGGGATTCCATAGGTATTTGCCAAAGGAATGGGTGAGCAAGGGTTTCCTGGGTGCCCGTAGTATCTCATTTAACTGGAGGGGGACATGGTGGTGCACGCCTGTAATCCCAGCACTAGGGAGGCTGAGGCAGGAGGATCAGTGTGAATTTAAGGTCAGCCTGGGTTACATAGCGAAAACTTGTCCCCGCAAAAAATAAATAATGTAAAATATAGGAACTCATTTAACTGTAGATACAATCTACCACCCCCTTATTCCAGATGGAAAAACAAGCATAGGGAGTCTCACACTGTCCAAGACAGCAGAACCAACAGAGGGCAGACCTGGGGGCTCCATCACCTGTCACTATGCCTCCCCCTTTTTATTCTGAGACAGGGTCTCCCTAAGTCACTAAGTTGCCCAGTCTGGGCTTGAATTTGCGATCCTCCTGCCTCAGCCTCCCAAAGTGCTGGAATGACAGGCATGGACCATCATGCCTGGCTTCCAAACAGAATCTTTTCCTCGCTTTGATAATACACTTTCCATGATTAAATGCGCACGCGCGCGCGCACACACACACACACACACACACACACACACACACACAGAAGGAATTTTGATTTCCTGGCTGTACTTTAGGAAAAGTCCCCAGGGGACCAGGGCACCTTGGGGAGGAGGGAGGCAGGTGGCCCCAGCTTGTCCCTGCTTGTGTGACTTATCTCCGTGGATACCAGGGGCTTCGTCCAAAACCCTCTGGGGCGTCCCAGTGCCCCAGAGATTAACCCAGCTGGCTGGCTGGCTGTTCCCTGCATTGCCAGGGACGCCCTCCTTGGACCTGCCGCTCAAGTCCTGGTCCAAGTCCTGGCCAGCTATCATGCAGTCCTGGACTCCTTGGCAAACTCCTATCCATCCTCTGCAGCCCCGGGGTTACTGTCTCTTTCCCCAGAAATCGAGTCCTCAACTCCTACACACCGGGCATCCCGCCCCTTGGCCAGCCCTGATTTTTGGGTCCTAGGGGGTCCGAATCCAGTTCTGGCTCCCTTACTTACTCTCCAGTCTCCTGGAGGGCGGGGCTGGGACCTCTGGGACCCCAGAACTGCCCTCCCCGACCAGGCACGGGGCAGCGCGGGCGGAGCCGTTCGAGGGTGGAGGAGGAGGGCTGGGCAGGTGTCTCCGGAGCCCCGCCCGCCCGGTCAAGGTGAGTTTCGGGGGAGATTTGTGCCCGCCTCCTGCCACCTGCCCGACACAAACACTCGGAGCAGCCGGAAGGGAGGGCGGGGCCGGCCGAGTCGCCCTGCCCGGCACGGGCGCCCCCTCCCGCCCCGCCCATCTCAGGACAAAGGCCCGGCGGGAGGCTGGGGGCGGATTCTTGGCTACTGGGGACGCGGCCGAAGAAGACGGTAACGAGGGGGGCGGGAAGCCAAGGCGCTAAGACCCACAGCTTGGAGCTGGGGCCCAGGGTTAAGCGCCTGCCTCGGTTTACCCTTCTGGGGTCCCAGGCAAAGTTCGACCATCTTTGCCGCACTCCACCCGGGCTCCTTTGCTCTTGTGCAAAATTGGGGCTGCAGCCCCGCTCTTACTTCCACCGGGTAACAGCTCTGTGCAGTCGCCACCCAATAAACAAACAGCGGTGGTTTCTCCCGTGGCCTCACTGCGTTCACCAAAGTGGACTCAGGCCACAGATAAAGTCACCGCGTTTCCCGGCTGAGGCACAGATTAGAGCCCTGGGCCCCTCATGGACAGCGGCACTGACACCTGCAGCACCTGCTGCTTTAAAACGATGAGCGCCCATTTCACAGATGAGGTACAGAGAGGGTGAGGCGCTGCTCCAAGAGGCATGGCATAATAGGTAGAAAAGTCGGTATCTGAACCCAGACCTGCTCGCTAAAGGAGGCCGATTCGGGGGAATGGGGACACGCTTCAGAGTGCACCCCGTGTTGGCCACCTCATTCCTCTGGGCCTCAGTTTACCCATCTGCTATGTAGGTACAGGGTATTCTGAGGTCCTGGGTCCGACACTCAACCCCGCTCTCCACCTCCTTCCCGCCCTGCCCGCCACGAGCTACTCGCCTGGAATCTCACCGCCATGGTCCACCCCGGGGCTCTCGAGGGGCCCCCGCCCGCGGGGGACCTGGAAACGGTCAATTGGGCTCCCTCCGGGAGTAGGAGAGGAGGCTGGGGAGGGTCGCGGCAGGATAGGAGCCCCGCTTTCGCCCGCCTTCGGCCTGCTCCGCTGCTCCCGGCTGCACCTGACCCTCTTCCTCCTCCAGGTCCCCTGTCCGCCCCGCCCCGGCGCGACACGCCTCCGGGAAGCCACAGAGCCCGGCCTCGCCCCGCTGCCTCCATCGTGGGCTCCAGTCCTGGGGCGTGAAATCCAGGTCGGACTTTCCATGCCGCCGAGCCTGCGCCGGCAACTGGCGGTGGAGCGCGGTGCCCGCCAAACTGAGAGGAAGACCCGGCGCGGATGATAGCCGCGCTCGGAACGGAGCAAGAGACTAGTGAGGATTTTCCATCCGTAAAACGGACACATTTTGAGGGTGGCTCTTGGAAGAGGAGTTTGTTAAGGGCCAGAAATCGCTGGTCTGAGCCAGGCGCGGTGGCGCACGCCTGTCATCCCAGCACACGGGAGGCTGAGGCAGGAGGATCATTGCAAATTCGAGACCAGCCTGGGCTACAAAGTGAGTTCAAGGCCAGCCTGCAGTGCATAGCGAGACCCTGTCTCAGAAAAAAGAAATCACTGGTCTTGCTCGGATCACTCCATCTCCAGGAGGCTGGTCCATCTCCAAAGGTCTACAACTCCATCTCACAAAGGGGAAACTGAGGCCCCGGAGGCCAGGAGCAGGAACCTCGTGCACAAAGGTTTTTTGCTTTGTTTTGTTTGCACTGGAAATCGAACTCAGGACCTTGTGCTTGCCAGGCAGGCGCTGTGCCACTGAGCTATATCCCCGGCCCACACAAAGGTTTGCTCTCCACACCCCGCCAGAGCTGGGTCCCTCTACCGGAGGACATTTCTCCAGGTTTCAGGGGGCAAAGGTCAAGCCTTCTTCCACCCAGCCCAGCCTCGCCCTCGGGAGTCCTAGGTTGGACTTTTACCTAGGGGTGGGGGAGGGAAGCACCCACCCTGGGTGGGCGTAGTGGCTGCGGGCTCCACCCACAACTCATTCCAACTTAAAAAATAAGATAAACCAAGCTGTGGTGGTGTACTCCTGTCTTTGTGGCACTGGAGAGGCTGAGGCAGGAGGATCACTGTGAGCTCGAGGCCAGCCTGGTCTCCATAGGGCTGTCTAAGCATAACCCTTGGAGGCAGGTCCAATTAGTACCACCATTTACAGGTGGGGAAACTGAGGCACAGAGCCTGTCCGTGATTTCCACAAGGTCACACAGCAGGAATAGGGCAGCAGATCAGAGTAATGACTTCTTCTGGGTCCCTTTTAATCTCCCCAACTATGCTGGGGTGGAGGAGAGAGGGGTGCACCAAGGGGCAAGAACCTTCCCTGAGGACACACAGCAAATGGAAAAGGCGGGGTGAGAGCTCACCTCGCTCTGTTTCTAATGGGTCCTCAGAGGGACTCTGAGCAAAAGTGACTCTAGGGAGTCTTTGGGGGACGCCACGGGTTTTCATTACGCTGTATTGTCTGCTTTGCGTGTCCACGTGACAAACTCTTCACCAGCCTTCAAAACCCCAGCTGTGATGCCCGTCTCTTCCAAAAACACCCACTCCAGGACTTTCCTCTCTACTTCCATTTTTTCATAGTCTGTACTTTCTCTCCCTGCCCAGCGCTGACTAATCCAGGCTGGAGGAGTGTATCTAGATTTGACCCTTCCAATGTAGGGCTAAATGGGTCTCCAGCATAGCCGGATTCAAGTTTACTTATTTATTTATTTTTTAGTCAGGGTCTTGCTATGTAGGCTGGCCTTGAACTCACTATACAGCCCTTGAACTCACTATACAGACCTCAAACTTGCCGCGATCCTCCCGCCTCAGCCTCCCCAGCCCTGGGATGACACGCGTGCGCCAACGCACCTGCTTGACTGAACATTGTTAGACAGCTGTGCACTTGTTATGAGTCACTGGGAAAGCATAAGCCCCACACATGCCGGGCACAGTGGCTGGGGCTGCTGCTCCTGTCTGGTGAGCATTTATGGGCCCTGCTCTGCCTGACGCTGCACAGGACTCTTGCTTCCTGGTGTGGAGTGAGCTGTAGCTCACACCCTACGATGCACAGAAACACCCCTGTAAGACACAGTGCCAGCTGAGAACTCTAAGCCCCTCTAACAGAGGAAGGGAGACACCAGTCCCGGGACCCCTTGTCTTCCTTAGGCTGCCCGCCATCTGCTTTCACATGTCTATGCCATGCTCAAGAACCCTCAATGGCTCCCTAGTACCCAGCACCACCACTGTGTTCAGATCCAGGCCTTTAGAGAAGGCATGGCTGGTTTTTGTTTTGTTTTGTTTTTGTTTTTTTCAGACAAGGTCTCACTATGTAGGTCAAGCTGGCCTCGAATTCTATCAGCAATCCTCCTGCCTCAGCCTCCGGGGAGCTGGCATGACAGGTGTGGCTGGTGCTGCTGTCCGCTCCCTCACTGCTCTCACCCTCCAGGTCACTGTACGGAGGAAAAATCCACCTTGTACCAACTCCTGCAATCACCCTTCCTTCTGCCACACAATCAAGAATTCATCAACAAAGTATTTTAAACACCTGCAAGAAGCCAAGTCCGGAGATCAGATCACAGAAGCCCCAGGGCCAGGGTCCCCGAGGAGGGGACAGCGCTGTGTGGAGTGAGTGGGAAGGTGCTCTGGCCCCTTCTTAGTGGCTCTGAGGACCCGAGGCTCAGGTGGCCGGGGGGCTGGGCCAGGGGTCTCCCTGCTGGAGGCCGATTTGCTTCGCTGGGGGAAGGCTCGGTCAGATCAGTGGCCAAACAGGTCTGACCGGAATCCAAGAATGTCCGGAAGAGCCCGCGCCCGGCCTGCTCCTTTGGTATTTATTGAGCACCCACTGCATGCGCCTTGCCAGAGCTGCAGACAGTGTGCGGCAGACCCTCAGGAGACAGAGCACGAGCACTGGCCCCGGGGAGCTAGACAGGGGACAGTCGCACACACAAACACACAGCGCAAGCTGCTGGGCGTGGAGACACACGCCTGTGATCCCCGCACTTGGGAGGCTGAGGCAGGAGGATCGCTACAAGTTTAAGGCCAGCCTGGGTTACTGAGTGAGACCCTGTCTGAACACCCTCCCCACAAAAAGCACAAACTAGGTTCCCGGGAGCCCCTAGCGGTGGGATAGGGTGCAGGAGCTGGGGGCTCATGGGCGACTCCTGAGGGGATGGCATAGGGGATGAATATCACTAGGAGTGAATCGGGTGAAAGGGAACCATCAAAGCTGAAGAAGGTGAGATGGGAGACTGAGCGAAGCTGAAGGCTGTTTTCGGCAGCGGTACAGGCGTGCAAAGGTCCTGGAGCAGGCCAGGGCCCATCCAGGTGCAGGAGCAGTGAGGAGGCCGCCTGGCGGGAGCCAAGGGAGGAGGCGCGGAGCGGGAGCAGGGGAGGCGGGGAGGAGCTGTGCGCCGTGCAGAACCCTGTGGGCTGCAGGAGAATTTGGGCTTTGGCTCAGGGAGGTGGGAGCCGTAGAGGGCTGAGGGCAGGGGATGGAGGACCTGGCTCTATGCTCACGGCGCCCTCTGGTGGCTGCCGAGGGAAGGAAGGCTGTGAAGGGGAGGCTTGGAGCTGGGGACAGAGCAGGACCAGGTGGGCGGTGCTGGGGCTGCGCCTCGGAGGAGGAGAGGAGCCGCAGGTGCTGCAAAGCTCTGAAAACCGAGCTCGGCAGGCTCAGCGGCTGAAAGGGTGTGGGAGACCCAGGGAGTCCAGCCCCAGGGCCGACCGCGCCCTTCCTCCCGCCCTCCCTCCCTTTTTTCTGTCTTTCCCTCTTTTGCCAGGGAATAAAACCTGGGCTGCTGCACGGAGCTGCACTTCTGCCCTTTTTAGCTTTTATTTTGAGGCAAGGTCTCCCTAAGTCCCTAAGTTCCCAGGCTGGGCTGCAACTTGTAATCCTCCTGCCTCAGCCTCCCGGAGTGCTGGGATCCCAGGTATATGCTACTGCACCTGGTGAGATCATTTTATTATTCATTTATTTGGTTATTTATTTTGTGGTACTGGGGCTGGAACCCAAGGTCTTTGCCCTGAGCTACAGCCTCAGTCGTTTTTATTTTTTTTATTTTGAGATTGGGTCTTCTTAAGTCACCAAATTGCCTGGCCAAGCTCAAACTTGCTGTTGGCTTGGGGTTTATTTTATTATTATTTTTGTTATTTGGTTGGTTTTGTTTTGTTTTGTTTTTTTTCTTTTTGGGATAGGGTCTCGCTATATAGTTCAGACTAGCAATCTTCTTGCCTCAGCCTCCCCAGTGCTGGGATTATAGGCATGTGCCACCATGCCCAGCCTAGGTTTTGTTTTTTTTTTTTTTTTTTGGAGACAGGGTCTTGCTATGTAGTTTAGGCTAGTCTTGAACTCACTATGTAGGCTGGCCTCAAACTCAAGGACTTCCTCCTGTCTCATCCTCCTGAATGCTGGGGTTACAGCCATGGGCCACCTTCCCCAGCAGTCTGTTTTATTTTTAATAAACATTTTCCTTGGGAATAATTTTAACTTTGTAGAAAAGCGACTGTACAGAGAAGTCTCATGTATTCTGTCCCAATTTCCCCTGTCTTTTACATCTTACATTACTCGCGCGGGATATTGGTCAAAACTAAGAAATCAAGGTGGGTGTGATGGTGCCTGCTTCTTATCCCTGCTCTACAGGAGGCTGAGGCAGAAGCATCTCAAGTTCAAGCCCAGGCTGGACGACTTAATGACTTAGGGAGACCCTGTCTCAAAATAGATAAAAGAAAAAAAAAAAAAAAAAGGAAAGGCTGGAGTTGAAGCTCAGTAAAAAAGCCCTGGGCCCAACCAAAAAAGAAAAACCAACTAAGAAACTGACACTGACACAATGTTAACCCTCATTAGCATCTCCTGTCCTGTCCTGTCCTGTCCTGCCCAGGACATCTTGAGAACTGGACTGGCCAGGTGTTCTGCGGACTGTCCCTCTGTGGGGCTTTGCCAATGGCTAGATAGGGGTGACAGATTCCAGACAGCAGCCTCTGCCCTGCGCGACTCGGCCCCCCTGGTGCCCGGCCAGGCCCAGGAGGAGGCGGGAAGCCCAGTGGCCGCGTGGACTTTCCCCTGCAGCAGGCCTGCTGCTCCAGACGCTGCTCCCGGCCCAACATGGTTGGAGGCGAAGTGCGGCCTCCAGACCTTCCCGCCACTCCCTCTTGGTCTGTTTGACTTCCCTGCTGGCTGTGCAGCCCGGGGGAGTGGCTGCCCCTCTCA